GCAGACCCTGTGTAGGAACACAGCAGCAGACGGATGCACTTTAATTACCCAATCACGTATATTTCATGCAAGCATTTGAAACTATGAACACAAACCTACGCTGCGCATACTCCGGTGTCCAGCAGTAGACACAACCCTCGCAGCAGCACGTATCTGGTAACAACTTACCTCGCCATCGGCGCCGAGTACGCTGTATCTTTCGTCTTTTGAAAGAGGGCGTCCCAATCTGAGTTCTAGCACCTGATCGCAAGGGGCATAGCGACAGAAAACCCTGACTGGCAGCCCTCGTCGGCCACCCATTCCACGAAACGAAATGCACGTAGCAGCGTGTTCGCCCAGCAGACAACAATCAATGCAACAGCAGGATGTCGGTTGTGGGTCGGCCGGTCGGCTGGCCTTGCGGCGGCACCAAGGGGACTCCGCAGAAAAACTCGAGGACGGGGGGGCCCCCATCGCTCTACCCTGATTTCCTACGTGTTCCCACCACCAGCACCTCTGCCACTGCGCTGAGCACGGCTCTGCAGCCCTCTCCACTGCCTCTGTCTCAGTCTCACATAGCGTAATGCGAGAAGAACAGGCCCTGCTGGCGGGACTGGTAGCCCTGTGCGCTGTGTCCGCGGCGGCCCTGATGCGCCTGGTCGCCGTTCTCCGGATCTTCCGACGCCACCGGCGGCAGCAGCAGAGCTTTACCAACGGCAACCTCGGCCAGGAAGAAGAACGGCGGCACCTGCAAGCGACGGACGCCGACAGAGTCGCCTCGTCGCGCGTCATCGTGCCCTCCCTCCTGTTCCACGTCCTGGTGTTCTCGTGCCTGGCGGTGGAGGTGCCCGTCTACGCGTGCCGCTGGCTGTCCTCCAGCGGGATCGCCGTGGGCTTGGTCCAGGGCGATCGATCGCTGTACGCCCTGCACATGACCAGCTACCTGCTGCTGTTCATGGCCTTCTCTGTCGTAGTCACGCTGTGGAACGACGTTGCGGTGTTCGAGCCCAACGAGTGCACCGCGCTCATGAACAGGTGTGGGATGATCATGCCACGTTTGGACTCGTCGATGCTTTGTATCCCGACCCCCGCGGTGTTCTATGTACGATGACGGTCATGTTTGATGTGGGTGTATCCTTCCGTATCGCTCATGGTTGATACAACACCTTGCGCGCTATTAGCTCCGCTCTTGGCTTGATCCGAGGACACTGCCTTTTGCTGCCATCGTCCTTTATACATCCGTCATTGAGGAAACTAGCGGAGCTATGGCTATTCTGAAGTCTGGATCTATTATCTCGGAACTCCGTTGCACGTGGTACTGGCTCTAGTCTACACCAGCTCTACTGCCACTGTAGAGCCGCCTCTGTAGCCGCCTGTGAGTGGACTTGTGCCAAGACATTCGATGCGAAACAAACACGATCCTCTCGATGCCAAGGTCGGAGCTCTCTCGTCAACGTTGACTACGACGTCGACAACAAGAACAAGAACAACGACAGCCATCATTCCATAACTTCAATAAAACGCGCAATTTTTTTTTTCTTGTTGGTCAGCCCACGGGTTCATCAAATAAAGTTACCCCGCACTCCTGGCCCCCCCTCCTTGTATCTGATCATTCACTTGTTTCTCATGGTGTTTTGAGCCCAAGCAAGCCGCATGTATGCGGGCACTTCGTGTCCTACTACTGTAATGATTTCACGCACAACTATCGAGCGTGTTAGTTGCTCTCTTGGTGTGGTAAAAAGGCCTCTCTAACCCCATTGCTGAACACGAAAGTTTGAAACTTGGGGTGACTCAGCCAGGCTCCAGGTCTGACAGCAGTGCTAGCAAGACCACGACAAAGGCGAAGGGGTAGGGGACCATAGGCCGGAGCCTGGGGACCTCATCCAAATCCAATGCTTGCATTCAGTGTTCTTAGGCCGAGATCAATACTAAACCAGTAACCGCCGTTTTCAAAGTTTTTTTGTCCCGCCTACTACAGCCTGACGCTGTTTCGTTGCTCAACCGGTTAGCCGGGGTGTTCGTCAACTTTTGCAGAAACGCACCACCCACGACGAACAACCATTGAGTGCCACGATCCATCCCCGCAGATCGATGGTCGCCCTCTGCGTGTGCTACGTCCTGGTGACCGGCATCGCCGTCAGCGTGTGCCTCGGTCTCGGGAACGTCAAGTACTTCCTCTCCAGCTTCGCCTTCCTCTTGTTCTGCGCCTACAGGTCAGTCCGGTCGTCGGCTTACTGTATGGTCGGTATAGGCGAAAAAAGTGTTTGGTCTCTTCTCTTGTTGCCCCGTACCCTCCTTCGTGCGAGAGGAAAACGAAATAGCCTCCTGCCTTCATCTCTCTAGCGGTGGGCTCCGACAATAACCTGGACGCATGTATGAGCGCGCGTGTCAAAGTTGCCCGTATCGACCTGCTCACACACACACACACACACACACACACACCCCTCTATGTGCTTCCCACTGGATGAACCATACATCCCATTCCACGCCGTAGCACAGTATATTTTCACCATTACCACAGTACATGTGTGTTGGCCTTTTTCTTTTTGGCGCACCCCGTCGCTGGCACCCCCCCCCCCCCCCCCCCCCCCCCCCCCCCCCCCCCCCCCCCCCCCCCCCCCCCCCCCCCCCCCCCCCCC